AACAGAGACATTGGTCATACTATCAGGGACAGTTTAGGGGCAGGGGACCAGCCGGTGTGCTGGGCTTGAGCAGCACCAGGCTTACGGTGCTGTTTTTTGTTGTTAGTGACAAAAGGGAAAATAGAATGTTTTAAGTAAAACGTTTCAAGTATTCCGTATGTAGTTTCATTTCTCACAACTTCCTAGAATGTTCTGGAGCTTTGTAGAATCTCATGGAATCTTCCAGACTTTCTGAGAACTACATTTTCCTTGAACCTCCTAGAATGTAGTCAGCCATGCCCTCGCAGGTATATAAGGGGCGGGGCATTGCCAGTCAAATCAATGAGAACTGTTTATGAACAATTTGAATGAGAATAAAATAAAGCTTCAGGACTGCTGCGGCCAAGTCTATGACAATGGTGAGGACATGGAGGAAAGAAACAGTGGTGTCCAGGCAAGGATCCTTGCGCTGAATCCAAGAGCTTTCTTCTGGACTTGTGGCTGCCATTCCCGCAACCTGGTTGTGTCTGATGCAGAGTCATCTTCTTTAGATTCATTATCTCTCTCCAGAGCACTGCAAAGGATATACGTTCTGTTTTCAGTCTCAACTATCAGGTGGAAGATCCTCACGGATTATATTACAAATCTGACTGTGAAGCAGCTAAGTCACACTTGCTGGGAGAGCCTCATTGATAGCATAAGACCAGTGAGGTACCAAGTGACTGAAGTTTGCGGCACCCTGATGGAACTGGTGTGAGCAGGGGGTTGGACTAGATGACCTCCTGAGGTCCTTTCCAACCCTGATATTCTATGATTCTATGAACTGGCACAGTCAAGTAAGGCCAAGGCCAGAAACTGACACAATGTGCAAAGTCTGGCAAACCAGATCACTGACTTCAAATTTCTGGTCTCAATTGTGGTTTTGCATGATAGCTTGTTCCAAGTAAACACTGTAAGCAAGGCATTACAAACTCCATCAATGAACATCGTGACCACTGCTACTTTGATGAGAAGCTGCCTTGATATCATTGTGGCCTATAGAGACAATCGGTTTGAAGATGCCATCAAACTGCCAAAGAAATAGTGGAAAACTTAGGAGATGAGCCTGTCTTCAGGGACACTCGTATTCACCAGAAGAAGACACAGTCTGGTTATGAGGGCAGAAATGAGGTGATGGGAAGCTCGCAAGAAAAATTCAAGAGGGAGTTTTTTTGCTCGCCCACTAACACCGCTCAAGTGCCCATCGAAAAAAGGTTTGGACAAATGAAGCACCACAAAAAGACCTGTGGGTGGGGTGGGGGGGTTGTATGACCTTAATAAGCTGCCGGCGGAAAACATTTTTGAACAATTGTATGAACCTTCACTGGAGGGTGACACATGGGGAATGTTTGGACATCAATGATAAAAACTTCTGTGTTGAATTGGGCAACATCCGTCACATTTTGCAACATGAAAAGCGCTCTGCGCTCCAAGTTCTCCAATTCATTCATAATGCAGAGCTGAAAGATACTTTTCCTAAGGTGAGGATAGCTTTGAGGTTTCTGCTCACGCTGCTGGTCACAGTCATGAGTGGTGAACACAGCTTTTCAAAGCTCAGGCTCACTAAAACATATATTCGATCGACAATGGCCAACAAGAGACTGACATCGCTTGCTATTTTATCGCTTGAAAATCTCTCTGACGCTATGCTTCAGTTCGCAAGGGCAAAGGCGAGAAAAGCAATTTTTTGACCTACAGGACTAGGGTTAACATTCTAAGGCGGTCACCTACTGTAACACTATTTACTACTGTCCAATGCTGGTGCACAGTTCAATTTCTTGATGTTAGTACATTTCAGTTATCCTTAAAATTAAAAAGTTTCTATAAGCTTAGAAGAAATGAATTTTTTTTATTTGCTTATATATGGTATGAATAAATACAGATTTACATATCCTAGCATGAAAATATATCATCTTATATGATAGGGATAAATCATGCATGCAAATCATGCATCAAAGTTGTGAAATAGGCTACAAATACAATAAAAATAAGATATTCAAAAGTTTAGCAAATGGGATGGGGGGGAATGCTGAAGATGCTCCTCGTTTGGGGCACCATTTGATCTAGGGCCAGCCCTGCATAGTATACAGAGGAAACCATGAACACATTATAAATTTACTGCCTTATAGCTGCAGAGTTTTTGCTGCATCCTATGCTTGGTTTGGGAGGTTCTTGGCCATGGAGTGGTCAGCTGTGTGGTCCTTCTAGCCCACAAATCTCACCAGACACAGGAAAAACCCATATTTGTTGAAAGCCAGTGTTTCTCTACGGAGATCCCAGAAACTCTGTAGTAATCTTCAGACTCCTCATTCCTCATGGCACCATGACTTTTTCAGCCTCCCTGTCCTGGGCTGGCCCATCCTGCACCTCCTTAAAGGGTGATTTAAAAGAAGGAGTTTTTGTAAATTAATTAATATTGGTTAGAGGCCTGATTTTCAGAGTCAGTGGGAGCTGCGGGTGCTTAGTACCTCTGAAACACTAGCCCTATTTGCAAGGTGCCAACAGTGAACTTGATACCTTGCAGAGGTAAGAATGAATGGCACATGCCCTGAAGTGTTTACAATCTAAATGGACAATAGACAGGCATAGAATGAGTATTTTATGCAAATAAAGGAGTAGAAGTCAGATCAATGATCATACATCTCATTTGTTTGATTCGGGGTTTAATTTCATTTTATTTAGGGAGGATAGGCATAATCTAACCTAAATGTAATACAATGGCTCAGAACATATGATCAGGGCTCCTTCTGTGGGATGCTACCATGGGACAGTCTGATATTTGCTAACCATCAAATGCTCCTTTAGTGCAAGTGATATGGGTGTGCGCTTTAGGTGATGGAAGTCCCTACTGACAACCATAGTGTCTGTGTGCAGCCACTGTTTGTTATAGAAACATTAATTAACTAGGGAAAATCCCTATGGCTTTTACTGCAAAAAATGTCTTGGTGGTTCTCCCTCAGCATCCAGCCACACATCCAACTTCAGTTCACAGCGATATGGAGAAAGATAGTTGAGGGTGAGGGACTTGATAATACACTGCCTCCTTTTGTCAGATTTTAGCCTAAAGGAATCAATTTTGCACCCCTTTCATTACTATTCCCTGGAAATATGGGAGGGGATATGACCCTTATTTGGGCTAAGGTTGTAGAGTATGATACAGGGTTATCATGACTATAGAAAGCTGTAGCCTCCCAGCTCAATCACATCCAAATGAGTAAAACCATTTGAATTGGGGTTGATGGTACTACAAGATTTGCCACGCTAGATCAGATTATTTGTCCATTCAGTCTGGCATCCTGCCTCTGACAGGAGACAGCCCTTGATGATGCACAGGAAGGCAACCCCCACTTGCTTGGCTGTGCAATGCTATATATGGGGGTAAAATGCATTCATGACTTAAATACATGTATGATTGTCATTGTCTCCTAGTGTGGTCTCTCAACGGGTCTCAACTTCTCCTGACTGACCCTCCTTAGTTTGCTCTCAGTCAGGTCGGTTCCTGGACCTTCACCTCCAATTAAATCCGTCAAGCCTTCACTCTGTCCCTTCAGCACTTCACTCAGCCCTGTGAGCACTTCACTCACCTGGCTGTTTCTTGGAGGTAGCATGGGGCAGGGTTGTCACCCCTTTTCAGTCCCAGGTCTTTCTGCCTCCCTTTCCTCCTCTTTACTCTCCCCTGGCCTTGTTTCCTCTATTGGTTGAAGCTCTGGTGCCTCCCTCCATGATTGGCAGCTCTGGCAACTGCGTGGGGTTGTGATCAAGCTGCTTGCTTGTAAACAGAAGAGACTCTCCTCCCTCTTCAGCCTATGCTCAGTATGGGGTTTGTAGAACCCATTACAATGATCAGTATTCTATATGGGATGGACATATGATGTTATTGAATAACTGAGTACCAGCTACATCGTAAACACAACAGCAATTACTTTTACATATAGGGCACAATTTGTTTCCCAAAGTAAATAGCAAGTAATAATTCTTGTCTCCTAGTCTGCACATAAGGGGAGGAAGGCAAACTTGTGCTGGGAAGCAGGTGATTGGCAGTGGCTAAATAATACTCTCTGGAAATTTACCCTGGTATTAGGTGGAGTGTTGCAGCTCAGAGGACAAAACCCACCCACCTCTCTGCAGCGTTGCCTTCAATTCCTTTAATGTTAACAGCAAGAGAGCCAAGAAGGGCAAACCAAATCTTCCTGGGCCACATGCAAGGGATGCACATTTACTACATTAGTCTGGCAGAGTTCAGAATCCAGCTTCATAATAGCACAGGCTTTATTCTCCACACAAAATTACAGTATGCACTGTTCAACTGTGACAAGCTATCATACAGCATGCTTCCTTACTGCCTTACTCCATATTTCCCCTTCATTAACTTTCAGTATATCCATTTGCAATAATTCAGTATTAAAGTTCTATATCTTGTAGGTGTAGGTTTGTTGTTCAAAATGACTAAAATATCTAGCTCTTCCCCCTCTGGTAGCTGGTTATCTTACCCAGGATTTGTGCATTTTATAAAAGAAGCCTTCTCCCTCTTAACCTATTCATTTTCTTTTGTAGGATGTTTTTGTGGTTAAGAAACTGCACCAGGACTCAGGAGACAGGGTGAATTCCCTGATCTGCCACAGACTTCCAGCGTGATCTTGGGCAAGTCACTTAAGTTCTCTTTTCCCAATCTATAACATGAGGGTAATAATACTCCCTTTTCCCTTACCCGTTGTATGTCTTGTCTATTTACACAGTAAGCTCATTGGAGTAGGGACTGTCCTGCTATTTGTATGTACCCACAATGGGGCTAAGGATGTCTAGATATTACTGTAATACAAATAAATAGGAATAGTATGCTGCTTCTTTGGCTATTTTGAAATGCAGGATACTGTTCGGCCAAGCAGAAAGGCTGCTGTAGCTGCACTAATTTAGGTAAAGAGCAGAATGTATATAGCTAAATCCCAAAAGATCTTTGTAACACAGGTCCCAGAAGAACTCACCAGAGCGGCCTGGGTACAGAAATGAATTTCTGTCAGACACATCCCCAGTCTGGAGAAGGAGTCTCTCATTCTGTTGGACAAACAGAAAAAGTAATGGTTACGATTCTAATCACAAGCTGAAATACTGGAACTAAAAAGAGCACGAGAAGCAGCAGACTCGAGCGCTTAAAGCATATGACTTAGAAGCAGGAAACCTGGTTCTACTCCTGCATCCGACAGCTGCTGTGTAGCCTATGGTGAGTCATTAGATTCACTTTTAGGGTAGCCTTATCAGGTATGATACCTACAAAAACATTGTACAGCTTAACCAATTAATGATTACGAAGTGCTTTGAGATTCTTTATTGGAAGATGCCACATTAGTGCTAATGAACCTCAAAAAACTCTACAAATCTGTCTAGACTATGAATAAAGGTGTTTGAATGGATGGAATTAGTGAACATGAACACCAGTGCTACTCTGGATAAACATGATGCATCAGTCTTTATCTCAACCAGGGCCTATTTCTTCACTGACTGTACCTTGCATTGCCATTTATACCAGTGCAAAGTAGGTGTCAAATGCAACCCAATCAGAGATCACCATTGTATTACTCCAGTTTTATACCTGTTTATAGAGGAGTAACTAAATTAATGCTGTGGTGATTCAGGCCCACTTTGTGTACACCTGTACAACAACACATTGGGCAAACCAGTGGAGAATCAAGTGCTCTGTCTCTTCCCCAAAATTGCTAAAAGTAATTCTGGGGTAAGATAGTCTCCTCTGCATAAATAACTAGAAAAGGAGTACTTGTGGCACCTTAGAGACTAACCAATTTATTTGAGCATGAGCTTTCGTGAGCTACAGCTCACGAAAGCTCATGCTCAAATAAATTGGTTAGTCTCTAAGGTGCCACAAGTACTCCTTTTCTTTTTGCGAATACAGACTAACACGGCTGTTCCTCTGAAACCTGTCATAAATAACTAGCTATTTTTCTATGCTTTACGGTTCTTTAATACAGAAATCCCTCACTGTTAAAAGTGATCTATCAGAAATATTGTTATGGCTAACCATTTTCATGATGCCGTCACCAGCAAAGGTTAGGTGCTTGAGTGGGTAAATTCTAACACTTGGCTTTTTTAGTGCAAGGAGTAAGTTTCCCCTCACTGCTCCAGGAATGTGCTTTAACCTTGACCTTGAGGAAGAATTTGGAGAGGTAAGAGAGCAGTTCAGTCTCCTACAGTCAGTCTTTGGCTTCCCTCCTAAAACTCCTGACAAGACTGCTAATCATTATCAAGTGTGAGGATGGTTTTTAATAAGTTTAGTGCTTGAGAGTCTATGGTATTTGTTAACCTAAACCAGATCAGTCCTAACTCCTCTGCATTTGCCTGCTGCCACTCAATTTGACACTAGTCAACTGAAAGGTAACTATAGACCTGGTTAATGATAATAATGATGATACATTTTTATTTTTAGAGCACTCAAACATGGCCTCTAAGCTCTGTGCACGCACACACACATATAACTAATAACTGAACATTTCCAAAGGGCAACAAGTCCTTTTAGAATAGTAATGAATACAAAAATCATTTTGTGCACTGCATGGGAGAGGTGCATTTCAAGATTTTCCTATATAGCTTCTATGAAAATTGGCCCCTAAGCAAGGGTGTGAGTCATTGATGAATACAGCTCTAAGGCTTCAAACTGTGCAGCAAGAGCTGTAAAAGACATTAGAGGAACACAGGGGCGGGGGAGGAGAGAGCGGGGGGTTAGAAGGTTATTAAATAAAACCTAGCAATGGGTTGACGTGAACACTTTCTGAATAACGTTTTGAAAATGTACCACCTGATCACTGGGCATAGATCTGACTGCAGTCTTGGTGCCCTCAACTGGCTGATGCTAACAGATGCTATAAAGACAGCTCTCCACCTTCCTAGCCATAACTAAGGTCATGTCTGAACTACGATCCCCTCACTGCTGAAAGTAAATCAATATACTATACTGGGAAAGTGCTGCTACTATAGACACTCGTATACTGGCAAAGCTGGAGCCTACACCAGTATTAGGGGGTAGCCATGTTAGTCTGTATCCACAAAAACACAAGGAGTCCAGACTAACAGATTTATGTGAGCATAAGCTTTTGTGGGTAAAAAACAACTTCTGGCACCTTAAAAACTAACAGATTTATTTGGGCATAAGCGTTCGTGGGTAAAAAAAAACCCACTTCTTCAGATGCATCTGAAGAAGTGGTTTTTTAACCCACGAAAGCTTATGCCCAAATAAATCTGTTAGTTTTTAAGGTGCCACCGGACTCCTTGTTGTTTTTACACCAGTATTGTTATTCCACCATCCCTAAATAAAACAAGCTATACTGGTAAAAGTGCAGTTATGCTGATTCAACTGTGTCTACATTAGGGCTTTTGGCCACATAGCCATGTCAGTAAAATATACATCACACTCCTAACCACCACAGATATGCCAGAAAAACTTTTAAGGATAGACCAGCCCTCAGAGATGCTACTGGAGACCATCATAGTGTCGGGGAAACTGGGGCATGGCCACTAGGTAACTCGAGGAGATGGAAGACCACGAGTGTCGATGAAGCCCCCTCGCACTAGGCCCAAGTGTCCTTGGCCCTCCCGCCTGGAGGCGCACACAGCAGTTATGCTGAGAATCTGCAACAATATGCTGCAGAGTCAGACTGCCTGAAACTAAGCAAGGCCAAACAGGGCAGATATGGAAGAACAATGCTGAATAAAGCAGCTTTATGTATGGTTTAAGAAATGATACAGAGAACAAGGGAACTAGCTGGGAATTGGATTGGCTGGCTATATGGATACTTAGGGCAGCTTGCTATTGGATAAGTATGCTGGGAAAAAGGATGTATAAAAGCCTGTGTAACTTCCTGCTCTGTGTGCAGGATTTGAGATTTTATTCTCCCTGTACCTTTTTACAGCTTCAAATAAACTTTTCTGCTTCTCCACCCCGTTGTGATTATTGGGTGTAGCACACCGGGTAGCGAACCAACTTCAGCTGTTGTTTAGCCTCTCGGCACTGGGTGCTGGCAACAATACAGTAGAGATGGATTGGATCACAAAGTTCAGATACACACGTAGACTTCCACAGTGTTCAAGAGTGTTTGATTTTGGTCCAGATTCTCTTTATTATGAAGAAATAAAATCTGGTACCAATCTGATTTCATTCATTGACTAGCAATTAATGGACGTTCTACAATTGATACCACAATGATTCTGGATATTGAGTACATCACTTTATGGTGCAATCGGTTTCTACCTACCCAAGGTGGGAGTTACAGGGTCCAATAAAGAAATAATGTTTTTAGTTAATACGAGCAGAAATTACCATGACTTCTTCTTGATTCCTTGTATTTACTTATATTCATCTCAAATCAGATAACAATGCAAGAACCTTTGCAGTGTCAGCCCTGCATCTCTACTCTCATATCTTCCAATTCTTCTTTTCCTCATTACTGCTATCCCCATAATCTTTTTTTCCCATTCTTGGCTTCTTTCATTTTGCTACCAACTCAGTTTACCCATCTGTAAAGCAGGTCTAAAAATATTTCCCTCCCTGAGTGCTGTGAAGCATTTTGAGGTCACCAGATGAAAGGAGCCATATGTAAAATATATAATCTTTTGGTTTATTTTTATTAACTTGCAATCCTGTAGCTTCGGTTTTAAAATGCCCTAGGCAACAGCCTTTTAAATAAGATATTGTTTTTCCTGATGACCTATACAGACTGCAGACATTTTTCAAGAAATGTCTACACATTTGTTTTTTTTCTCTGTTTACAGGTAACAAATTTACCTCCATAGTCATTATCAGAAGCCAAACCATCATGAAAAGCTTTATTTTCATGCATATGTGCTATTTAATGCACTGAGCATAATCAAAATTAGTAAGTCTAAAACTGGATTTTTATTAGATACAATAGAAACTTGGAATCTTTACAAAGCCGAATAACTGTGGTTTTGCAGGTTTCAGAGTAACAGCCGTGTTAGTCTGTATCCGCAAAAAGAAAAGGAGTACTTGTGGCACCTTAGAGACTAACCAATTTATTTGAGCATGAGCTTTCGAAGTGAGCTGTAGCTCACGAAAGCTCATGCTCAAATAAATTGGTTAGTCTCTAAGGTGCCACAAGTACTCCTTTTCTTTTTGTGGTTTTGCAGTTATATATTTTGAAAAATGAACATAGTGGTCTGTGTAACCAAAGAGTCCATAATTTCAGTGGGAAAATATGCTGGGGAAATTGTTTGTCAAGTTATAGTCTTATTTTGTTCAAAATTACTTCTCTTTCCTTCCATAAAGCTCTAATACAGCACCGATAGATTCTACCAGCAAGGAAGCATTTTCTGTTTGTTTTTTCGCTAGAAATCACACTCTCCATTTTAAACAGAGGAGCTTGACAACTGAGTTCTTGTTAAAAAAAACAAACACTGAAATATATAGACATGCAGCACCATCTACTGGATTAATATATTGTGTATAAATGCATGACTGACATGTACAGAATATATTTCCACAAGGCAAAGGTAGAAAACAGTCATACACTCCAAAGCTTATTATAGTGATGTATTTAGTCAGCATCAGGGCTCCGATAAATCCATAGATATGGAATTTCCATGGATATCATGAAATAATACTTAACTCTGATTTAGCATTTTATATTTTCAAGGCACTATATAAATAGTACACACAAAAAACTATGTCAAAAGAACATTACTAAGGTTGCAATGTCAAGCAAATTAGGACGTTCAAGAATTAAAATTTCCTATGCAACCTTAATTCAGCTTCCTTGTGTATATGTACTTTAATTACATGATCAGATATTATTTTTTTCCCTGGGGGCCCTGTCTAATTCAATGCAGAGGACGAATGGTGCTCAGTCCATGAGCAGCTACTTAATAGTTTGTTTTCTTTTCATTGTTCAGTGTGTGCCCCCCCTATTTACTGCACACTATTCAAACACTGCTCTGAAGACAGAATTATAAACTTCCTCATAATATCTGAGTGTTTCACAAAAATTAATTAATTTTCACAACACCTTTGTGAAATGAGGGGGTGGTATTATCCCTATTTTATAGACAGTGAATTGAGGGCCAGAGAGATAAAAGTTAAAAATGTCCATTAATTTTAGATGAACAATTTGAGATGCCTTAGCATTACAGAACAATTTAAGGTTTCAAAGTAGCAGCTGGGTTAGTCTGTATCCGCAAAAAGAAAAGGAGGACTTGTGGCACCTTAGAGACTAACCAATTTATTTGAGCATAAGCTTTCCGATGAAGTGAGCTGTAGCTCACAAAAGCTTATGCTCAAATAGAACAATTTAAGTGTTCAAAGCATAGCTCACATTGACTTCAGTTGCAGCTATGAGCACTCGGCACTTCTGCAAATCAGTCCCCAGTGTATTAAGTTGGGCACCCAAAAATGAGGAACACACATTTAGTGACTATCTGTGAAAAGTTAGGTTTATGTGATTTGCCTAGCATCACATAGGAACTCTCTGGCAGAGGCAGGGACAGAATGCAGTTTTCCAGGGGAGCATTCAATTGCCTTCACCTTGAGACTATCCTTTCTCTTCCTGCAGTCCCCTGCCTCCTTCACTTCACAGCTTTCAACTTCTGCAACAAATAGAGCAAACATCCTACAAACAACAGCCTCCTTCAATAAACAATCCTGACTGATTCCCAGAGCAGGTCTAACCTGTGCAGAATGAGGCAGGCTCCCCTGGAAAAAATAGAATACGATCATGTACTTAAAGACCGTATCACAATTAAAGCTGTATGAAAACTGGCACATCCGTCCTTTAAAAAATGTCACATTTCTGAAAAAAAAAAGTTCCAAATTGGAACAAAAAGTCAGATATGTGAAATTTCCTGTGGAAGAATCAAAACAGAGTTTTGTTTTGTTTTTAAAATCTCCAGTCCCATCTCCCTGGGGTTCCAGACTCCTCAGTTCTACATCTGCCTGTCAGGTCGGCAAAATCTGCAGAGCCCCAACTCTGTGACAGCTTCCTCCTCCATGCTGCCTAGGCCCCGCAGGGGGATCACTGAGAACACAGGAGAGAGAGAGTCTCCCTGCTCCCAGTTTGGGCACCTGCAGCCAGATCTGGCACAGCCCACAGCAGCCTAGACCTCCAATGAATTTTTGGAGATTTAGCTGCCAAAATCTAAGGAACATCTCCTAAACATGTGCAAACTGCAATTTTTCAGAGGCTTATAACTTGACCAAATTTGGCTAGATTTTCATGGAATGGCAAAAGGCAAATCCCTGACAATTTTCAAGTCCCTGCTCCCACAGGTGCTGATTTTCCAAAGTGCAGTGGGGTGTTCGACCCCCGGCTCTGACGCAGGCCCTGCCCCCACTCCACCCCTTCCCCCAAAGCCCCATCCCCAGCCTCTTCCCACCCAGTTCCGCCCCTCCCCCAAGCGCGCCACATCTTCACTCCTCCCCCTACCTCCCAGCTTCCTGCCCGCTGCGAAACAGCTATTGGAGGGAGGGAGGGAGGCAGGCAGGAGGTGCGGGGGGGGGGGGGGTGGTCACTGATCTGTGGGGCCGGCCAGTGGGTGGGAAGCACTGGGGGGGAGGGAGGGACTGCTAGAGGGACTGCCAGTGGGTGCTCAGCACCCACCATTTTTTCCCCGCAGGTACTCCAGCCCTGGAGCACCCATGGAGTCAGCACCTATGCCTGCTCCAAAGCATGAGGGTTCTAAAGCTTTTCAAAGAAATGGCCACTAAAATTTTTTTAATGGGTGTATCATATTTTACCCCCAGCCTTGTTCTTGGAAACAACTGAACCATTCAGGCTGAAATTTTCCAAAAAGTAATCAGTCTGAGGCAGACACACAGCATGGAAGGTTCAAGCCCAAACAGTTAAAGTTCAGCAAAGTTATAAGCAACTGAAAACAGGGTCTTATTATGAGAAGTGTCAAGAAACCTTAACAGTAAATGGCTACCAGCTCCCCCAATAATTATCTAACTAATTCTCATAACAACTCATGGGAAGGGTGTGTTCTCATTTAATTAAAAGATCTCTATAGCAATCAGCCATCTCTTCCATGTTTTCTGCCATGTTGCCAACTCTCGATATCATGAGTCAAGGGATTTTGGCTAAGGCTGGAGCCAGTCTGGGGTTGAGGCCAGAAGCTCCAGTCCCATAGTGAATTTCAGCTCTGTCTAAGAAAATCCCCCCTGTTTGGCTGCCCTACCCACCTGCTTGCCTCCTCAAAAAGAGCAGCCAATTAGGGCTGCTGAAGGAAACAGGTTGAGCTCTCCTTACCTCCTCTCAGGAGCGGACACTATTCTCACAGGAAGGGAGGCGGGAAGGAGGGAGCAGAAAGAGTCTAGCAGCATAACAGCTCCGCTTTCCCAGGATAATGCGATGGCTCCTCTGCTCCTCCACCTCCCTGCAACACCAGGCCTGAGAAGCTGGAGAAGATGACTCTACTGCAGCCCCTGCCCTAGTGTGGGAGAGGGGTGAAGAACACCAGGAGCTGCAGGGGGAGGAGAAGTGAGGCTGGTGGGGTAGAACTGATGTAGGATCCTGGAACAAAATTAACTGCTAGGTAGTTGTAGTATGAATTGACACCAAATTAATTATTTAGAATGTTACGGTTTAGCTGGAAGCTCCTCATCATCAGGCAGCCAATAAGGCACCATCAGTTGGGGGGAGGGGGCAGCAATGTCACTTTACTTGATAAATTTGGGAGATTTGGGAACACTAATGCCAGGCCTACACTCAGAGTGCTTACTGATAAATGCCTGAGGGAACACACCTCTGATAGACATCACTGTATTGGCAAAAGCCCCGAGTGTAGACCTAGGAGTGCTTAGCCTATATAGTATACTAGTATACCTATGTCAGCAAAGGGTTCTAGTGTAGACATGGCCTAATTGTCCCATACACACTACGGGTGAGCAGGGAGAGTTCAAAAATTAAAGGACGGACTAAGAGACTCACCCGAGACACACAGCATTTCAGCACTTCCATTTCAGCTTCCCCACAAGGATCTTCAGCCTACTCCTGTCATAGGGGTGACTTGCCCTCAAAGGAAAGTTCTACACCTTCCAAGGCAAAAGAGTCCTTATAAGGACAACAAAAACACAAAACAAAGGAATCCTCAGCCTAGCCAGGCTCAGCATCCAGCCCTTCTTTATAGACAAGCCTCACCTGTCTCCACACTTACTAATAAGTACCTGGGCAGTTAGTCCATTCAACAATCCAGTTTAAGCCCACCCTCACAACAGACTCTAGTTAGCCACAGCCCTCACAGAGCTCCTAGCTCTCAGCCAGGCTTCCTACCCCCAGATAGGAACAGTCAATCTGTTTTCTTCCCAATTAGCCTTTACCTGCTAATTCTGTTTTCTTTCCAGTCAGCCTTTACCTACTAATTCTGTTGTCAAAACTAATGTATCATTTAATAGATCACTGCTGCTCAGCACTGAAATGCTGGGCATTCCTCCTTTATGTTTCATGTCCTATACATGTGTAGCATAGCAAGGCTAACTGAACAGAGCAGACTGATCCAAGGCCTACTAGCCCTTAATAGGGCAGGCTGCCTGTTACAGAGACCAAAAAACACAGTATCTTTTAGAAAAAAACCTCATGATTTTGGGGCCAATCTCATGATTTGGGGGGGTCTGAGTCATGATTTTTGAACTTTTGGGGTTGGCGATAATGAAATTGCTAATTGCATGGTTTTGCTCATGTCTACTGCTCTGGGTGGCATATTTTTGTTCTCTGTGTTTACTGCCACTTCAGGGACTTCATGGGTTCAATTATGACTTCCAGAGCCAGAATGGCATAAAGGGCAGGTGGTGCAGCTAGGTGTGGTGGAATTATTCATGTGGAGGCCAAAAGCTTGCTCCCTGTAGCCTTGCTACACATTTGGAAAATGTAAACTTTCACGTCTGCTGGTTCATTGCTCCTGACAAAATGTGGAGCACAAGTAAGGAAAACAGGACCCTGATATGTCCCTTTACACTGAATAATGGCAGACTTAACATGTTTCTCTGCTTCTCCCACCGTCTTTTCCATGCTTTCTTCCATGCCCAGATGCATGGCATACCATCCCAAGCTGGTCTGCAAAGCCTCTACCCTCTCCTTTTAAATTCCTCCTGAAGACCCACGTCTTTCATGATTCCTACAAGTTGGCCATTAGTCTTCTTATTCACTGTGTTCGTATATCTCATGAAAAGAACGCTCTGTGCTTTATTATGCTGTGCACTAACCTCTCTGAGTAAGTATGTAATCTTACTGTTGCCCCATCCTCCCTCCCTCGCCTGCTCTAGGGTCACACTATTTCTCTCATTGCATCATTTTCCAAAAGTAATCTGTAAGATGCTTGGGGCCGGGCGCTTTTAATTTAATTCTGTTTTCTTCTTTCTGCCAAGGGAAGCACCTAACAAACTTTTGGGCACATTTATGATAATACAATATAAGCCTTTGCCATTTGAGAACAAGAAGAATTGCTGTTACCTGTTCCATCAGTGGGATTTATAGCATCTTTGCTGGCCAGTCAGTTGCGTGGAAGACTCTCATATACGTCTAGATTCACATATAGCTGTGATATTCCAGCTAGCAGAAGGCAGTGATACAACCTCTGACAGTCTAATCTCCAAAACTGAAAACCACCTGTGTGCAGGATACCCAGCTCTTGCCGGCCCTGGTGGGCAAAGAGTTGTGGGGCTGAACCTGGATTGCTCATGTAGGGATTGAGCTGGGGACCTCTACAGCTTAGTGCAGGGATGGGCAAACTTTTTGGCCCGAGGGCCACATCTGGGTATGGAAATTGTATGGTGGGCCATGAACGCTCACGAAATTGGGGTTGGGGTACAGAAGGGGGTGAAGGCTCTGGCTGGGGGGTGCAGGCTCCGGGGTGGGGCCAGAAATGAGGAGTTCAGGGTGCAGGAGAGGGATCAGGGCTGGGGCACAGGAGGAGGCCGGGGTGCAGGCTCTGGGTGGCACTTACCTCAAGCAACTCCTGGAAGCAGCAGCATGCTGCTTCCGGGAGCAACTTTTGACCTGGCTCCCCAGCTGGAGTGTGGGAGCAGGGCAAGCCCCAGACCCTGCTTCCAGCAGAAGCTCGAAGGCCGGATTAAACCGTCTGGAGGGCCAGATGTGGCCCGTGGGCCATAGTTTGCCCACCCCTGGCTTAGTGCATGAGCCTCTACTGCCTGAGCTAACAGCCAGCTGGACCCTAGCTAAGGATGTAGAGCAGACTCATTAATCTCTAAATGGTCCTGGGGCCGCGAGAAGAGACAGAACACAACACTCAGGAGGTGCGTGGGGGGCATGAACCCCTCAGATGCCCCAGCACCAAACCCATCTCACTATGGGGCGGGGAGGCATGCCTCCCCCAACTTTCCAGCATGAAATCCGCAGTGTGTGGGGGGGGAGAGGGGGACACAATCCCTCCCCTACCTTTCGGGGCGGGGGGGTCCACAGCAACCTTCCCGGCCCCACGCTGCGGTAACAAATCCCTATCGCCTCAGCCCGGGGGACACGGAACTCCCTGCGACGGGGGGACAAGGCAGCGCCCGGGAGAAGAGGGTGGGGTGAATTGAGACACGTGTCGTGGGCATGGGGGCTGGGGTGATCGGGTGGGGGGGGGGGGGGAATGTGGACGCGTGCGAGGAGGGGCGGGGGGGGGGAGAAATGTGTGACCGGAAGTCGGGTTCCCTCCCGCGGCTGACTTCCTGTTTGGTCCGTAACCAAGGGCTTCCCGTTGCTAAGGGAGCTGGCGGCGGAGCCTGTGCCAGGGAGCCGGAGCCGAAGGGGCTGCAGGGACCCCAACGCCCCAACATGAGCAGTGGCGACGCCGACAGCGCCTCCTCCGCCTCGGTCCTGGCCGAGCTGGACTGGGACGATGGGTTCGCCATCCCCGTGGCCAACGCGGAGAACAAGGCGCTGGAAGAGGAAGTGAGTGGGAAGGCTGCAGCCCGACAGGGGGACACGAACACTCCCCCCCCTCGGCTCACCAGGAACGGGGCATGAACCCGACCCCCCGCCGGAGGACTGACGCCTCCCCGACTCGCCAGCGAGGGAGGGACACGGATCCCCCTCCCCTCCAGCGGGAGGGAGACATGAATGGACCCGGCCCCTGCCCCTAACGGCGGGCGGGGCGGAATACGAACCCTTCCCCCCCCCCCAGGGAAGTGGGGGGACATGAAGCATCCCCTTGCCTGCTCACTGGGGTTCGAACCCCTCCACGGGTCCTAGGCTAGGGCCCCCATTAGGACTAGATGGGAAACACCCCGCAAAACACCCCACCTGGGGTTCCCTAGGGAAGAATCTATCCCAGGCCAGGGCCCTCCCCAGCGGGGGCTCATGTAGCTAATGCTACTCTTCAGTTTATGCACTGACCCAATGGCCCAGCAGCATGGTGCTGTGCTACTGGGGGCACCTGTTGACAGCTGAGTTATAAATCCCAAGGGCTACCCACACATAAAGCTCCCATGGCATTTTTCACAAGAGGAGTAGGGTTAAAGTATGTCCGAGACAAACTCTTCATCCTTCCCTCTCCTTCTAGGCTGGTCCTGTGTTTGTCATCTTCAGCTATTCTTTACTGAGGTCCTGATCCATGCAGGGACATTCTTGTAACCTCAATGTCCTATTAGTCTTCCTGCACAGATCTCCTGATCTCTCAGGACATGGGCTTGATTCACCATTACCCTACACTTCATGCAGTTATTTACACCAGTGCACAGCAGAAGTAATGTGCTACAGAATTAGAAAAATAACAGTTTCACACCCACTTTGCACTAGTTAAAATGACTGTGCCAGGTGCAAGAGAAGGATGATGAGGCTCTTTAATTTGTAAAATTAATATACACCTGTTATATACAATGACTGAACAACAGCATACGTAACTATATTCTGGCCCCTGGTAATTTCAGTTGGATGCGGTATTCTTCAGTTCCTGCTGTAAACTGCATAATATTGTTATGCACTTACTGTTAAACACTGGAAGATCCACTTGCAAGAACAGAGCTATACTTCGTATAATCAGTTACTTAGGATGCATTTGGATAAAAGATGCTATATAAATAAATGATAAACATAATTCCATGTCACATTGGGTTATCTTTTAAGGCATAAGTAACATTACTTTTTTAACATTTTTATTATCTAGACCAACTATATTTATTTTTCTCTTCCTTCATTTTTAAAGAAATGAAGTCTATTGTCTATATTTGTGTGGTTTACATTATACAGTTTATATATTGTAAACAGGCAAGTATTGCTTGTTAAATAGTATATATTGCTTTCTGAAGATATATTCAATAAACTAGTAGATTTTGTTTGTTTACAGCTGCAAAAGTTGCAGAAAGAAAAAGCAAACCTAAAAAATCAGTTGACTGATTTTGAAGAGCGTATTGAGGCAATGACATCACATTTGAAAAATGTCAGACAGGAGTTCAACTTTACACAGGTAAATTGTTGTAACTAGTAGATCCTCCTTATCCAGTTTAGAATTCTGCCTGATATTTTTCTCTAATTTGTACACCCATCTACTTGTCTGAATACATTTTACTACTGATGAGAGACCTCAGAGCCTTCCAGTACTTGCCTAGGAAATAAATGAAGGCATGTCTCAAAAATATTATTAAATTAATGAAAAATGAATAAATAATTATTGTGCATAGAATGAAGGCACAGATTTTAGGATAGTTTGGCAATGGGTACTTACAGAAGTAATAGATAGATAAGTCTGACCCAGGGGGAAAAAAAAAAAACTGTTTCAATCTGGAAAAAAAAAATTGTAAAAGGAGATCAGAAGATGGTTAATTGCCAAATGCTAATGGGGACTTAATTCTTGAAAAGTGAAACAAGACTATAAGGGGAGAGAGAACTCTGCTTTACACTCTGAGAGACATATGACTAGGACATATGGGCCCAAATTTTCAGATAAATGCATGTCCTCATACATCTAATCTAGGGATCTCAGCTGTTGTGACTGCACATGTTAGCAAATGAGGCTGTCTCTGAGTATCTAGAACCCAAACCCTATAGGATTTTATAGATCAGTATTAACAGCTTGAATTGCACTCGGACCAAATTGGGATCCAGCGTAGACCTTGGTATGAGATACCATTAATGATATAAAAAAGTTGTTTTTCTAAAAAGGTGCATAAATGAATGCTGTAACTTTCTATTGTTTATAGCATGGAACTGGGACTCAGGAGACCTGAGGCCTGCCTCTCACCTTACTTAAACCACTATAAATTAGGAACTACTCCACTCAGATCAATGGAGTTACTGGTTTCACACCAGTATGAGGGTATGTCTACTCTGCAATGTCTACCCACGGCTGGCCCTGTCAGCCGAGTTGGGCTCAGGCTGCAGAGCTGTAAAATTGCAGTGTAAATGTTCCAGCATGAGTTCTGGGACCCGTCCCACTCACAGAATCCCAAAGCTCTTAACTCCAGCCTGAGCCTAAGTGTCTGTACTGCAATTTTCCAGACCCACAGCCCAAGCTCTGCAAACCCAGCTCAGCTGACATGGGCCAGACACAGATGTGTAATTCTAGCGTAAACATACCTTGACGGTTCAAAATCAGATTTCTGGACTTTGTTCCCTAATCTGGCACCAATTTGCTATGTGATCTGTAGAAAGACATTACCCTTCAGTGCCTCCATTTCCCCATCTGTGAAAATGAGTACTATTTAACCACTTTCTTAAAGCATTTGAAGAACATCTGTTGAAAGTTACCAAATGCAGACGATATTTTACTGGGACCTCCTGATAGGCTTTTAGCAGCTTCATAACTTTATTTTGACTATATCAGTTCTTTAGAGTTTCATCTGATAAAAAATATGACTTACCTCATGGAGTCTCCACAGAGATTTCACTTTGTCATCCACTGTGAAGATTACTTCTCATTCAGGAGGCAAAAAATTATTTTCTATTCCCTACTGCTGGAAAATCCTCCGGAGTTGCAGAGAGCCTGATTTGTTTGGGTTAGTGTGCAGGTGTGAGGTGGTGTTGGTGGCCTGTGATATACTAGACTAGATGAGTTGGTGGTCCCTTCAGGCCTTAAACTCTGTGATTAGTTATGTGGCTAAGAGTTAAGGCTCAAATTTTCAAATGATTAGTGGTTTAGGGTGTCTCTGTTTTTGGATACCCAACTTCACATACTTTAAAGGAGCCCAATTTACACAGGTGGGTGCTCAGAACTTTCTGAAAATGAACCCCTTTAAGGAGTCTCAGGCTGGACCCCCCCCAAATCACTAAATCACAGCCTATGATTTCAAATGGATGTCTGAGAAGAAACTCGGATAATGAATCTACTGATACAACCCATGTGAAAGGGCACTGAGAGACTGATAGATGGCTTCCTTGCAGCTGAACAGCCTCTTAGTTTTAATGTGCTAGATGCAAGTTTTAATTAGCAATTGAGATGAAGAACACCATGTGCTCCTTCTTCTGTAAGAGAAGGACTTCCAGTAGGTAAAAGATTGGGTATTGTATAGGGGAAAATATATTAAAGCAATTTTGCGAGACAAAAAGAGGCACCCAGCTGGCATGTGGTAATATCTATGTCAGCTAATCCATCCCAGCTCAAAACAATAGAATACTCTTTGCTGCTTTGCCTCCTGATTCAGACAGAAAGCTACATAATGATGGAGAGACTAGTTTGAATATGATTATCTGTACTGTTGTTTGGTTCTGAACTATAGAACAGTGAAATAATGGATTCTGAATCTTGCATGAAATATTTTTGAATCACTTAGCTAGATAGGGAAGGCTAATCTGAGAACATTTGATAAAGGTCATTGATTTTTTAATATGAATTCCATATCTAAAAGTCCAAACACCGGTATATGGAGTTGCTCTGAATTTACACCAATGCAAATCAGACTCTGAATTTCAAAAGCCTCCATACGCATTTTTATTTTAGTTCTGTAAAATCCCTAGATGTAAATTTCATAGTTTTATATCAATGTTACCTTTATTAGAGTTCTGATTCTGGTGAAATAATAAAAATGGTATTGCGTGTTAAATGCCTGTTAACGATTCCATGCAAAATAATGAACTATATTATTCTATAGTCTCTTTACAGAGCCAGAGAGAATGAAATTGAAACCGAAGAGCACTTTAAAGCCCTTGCTGAGAGAGAGCTTGGACGTCTCAAAAAAGAGATTCAACGGCTGGAAAATCAGATGGTTTCCTTAAGGGAAAAAAAAAATAGTCAAGAAGTAAGATTCAAAAATATTGTAAAATGTAAGCTGTTCTGTTTATCACTATTCTTCTTGCAATGAGTAGTGTTTTTTCCTTAGACAAATGAGGTCATAAGACAACAATTTTAACAATAGTACTTGTTGATGGAGCACGAATGCCTGTGACGTCCCACAAATATTTATGACCCAGTCCTTCAGCCCTTGCTCAGGAACATGTTAAGAGTTTTGTGTTAGTAAGAACTGGAGAACAATCACTTACCATGTCTTTTCTTCTTTTCAAACCATTAGGCTAACTTTTATTCCTTCAGGTTGGCTCTCTTCCTTTTTGTTGACTCTCTTTGGTGCTCAAAATGGCCAGATCGTCCT